GTATAATATCAAAACAAAATTAATGACAAATAAATAATAGTTTTAATCAAAATTGGAGTATTTTGAAAATATTTTAACTAGAAATATAATTAAATTCATGAAATTCTTGTCAATATTACTAATATATTAGTCATTTGTTAGTTTATTTTTAATTTATTTCTGTAAAATTTGATGTATAAATTATAAATAGTTTGAAACTATGAGTTTCGCTAATAAAATATGTTGTGGATATTTCATTCAGGGGAATAATAATACATCAAAAGCACGATTTCCTTCAAAATATGAGCAAAAAAAAATAATTATGATAAAGGTTAACAAACATTTTTATAATCGTAAAGCATTTCCAATTATGGGAGGTACGTGTTAAGAAGCTTGTTCCTTTAAATGGATCACTGATTTTTATGCGTGTCTGTAGAAAAAAAAACAATATAATAAAATGTGATTTTTTTAACATAACTCATTCAATTACTTACAGAATAAAAAAAATTAAAACATTTTTTTTGGTTACCTTTAGTTACATATTATTCTTGAGTTATTAGATATGTAATACTTTTTAAGTAAAACTTTGTTTATTTATTTGATATAAACAAATAAAGTTATATTAAAAATTCAAATTCCATTTATTATTAAATTAAAAACTATAACAATTTATTAAAATCAAAATATGTCTCTATTTAAAAAAAACAAAGTAGTCACTCTTACAAGGCATAAGGGACGAACTTAAAAAGTATTACATAGTTAATAATTCAAGAATATTTTTTAAAGTATTGTATAACTAAAGAAAACCAAAAAATCAATGTTTAAATATATTTATTCTGTAAGTAATTGAGTGGGTTATGATAAAAAAATCACTCTGTATATCAACTATTGTTTGTTTTATGAAAATTAATAATTTATTGGGACATTTCTCTTTATTTCAAGGATTGAAGGGAATTTTTCAAAGTTTTGGTATTATAAGGTTCAACTAGATACGGTTTTTTATCTTTTATGATATTGTTGAGAAAAATCGGTTCTGTAGAAGCAGAGTATTGTAACACAAAAAAAAAAAAATGTACGTCATAGTAAAACAAATAGCTTCTCGATTACTCATTGTAACTAAAAAATAAGTTAAATCATCAAAATATATTAAAATATTAAAAAAGAAATACTGTTTTCTTTATCTTAGTAATTAATCAAAAATATTTTTTCTTCTGATGAGCTACATAAAGGCCATAAAACTATGTATAAACCTAAAATTCTGGTCTATTGATATAAATATGATATATTAACTTTATTTAGTTTGTCATAATTTGTAAATAAAAAATTGACAGTAACAAAATTAATTTTATTAAATGTACTTTTGGGCTGTTAAATATAAAACATAGCTTATAAAATCTGCATTAAATTAATGACGTGTAATTCTTAGTAACTCCAAGTAACCTTTAGAATTCCAATTTATATTTAAAAATATCGTCAGATTTATAATCATGAATTTGATAAAGTACATTCATATAAAAACAAATGTTAATAATAACAAATATTCCATCGAATAAAAAAGATTTTTTAAAGAATATGCCATTAGCTTATGCGACATCTTTTGTATGAAGTCCAAACTAATATTCAAATACCAGTTTTTGAGCATTGTCAATCATAACACATACATAGTCGTATCTATTTCTTTAAAATTAATATTTTCAACAAGTATTGAACAAAATGTATAATGTCATTTAAAAAAATCTATTATGTATTATTATTGTTTATTACCGGATATAGTATATTTAAATTTTAAACTTTATTCTTAATTGTAGTTCAATTATATTTGCTCTTCTATTTGATATGTTTTACATGGAAAATTATATAAAAGCAAAATATTTTTGGCTTCTTCAGACAATTTTTCTGGCTACGTACTTGATTAGTTATATCAAATTAGTAAATTAGGTGTTCATTATATATTAGTATAGGAGACGAGACTTCTTGGCGCGCAATATTGGGTTTAGTTTCGTTTTCTGAGCTCTACAGTTTTGTTAATACTGTCTAACACAAACTATAAATCGTTAATAAAACACTGTACATTTATTATTATAATAGAACGATTAAGCATTGTCGATTTTAAGTGAGACTATCTATGAAACGTCTTGACGTTATTCACGGTTAATTTGCTTAGTATCCCCAACGTCAAGACCTGTAAATTTAGTTGAATTATCAACGCTAAAAACTCAACCAAGTTGAAAACAACGTTTATCGTAATATATCACTTAAGTAGAGATCATAAGTAATCATTAGTAGAATCACATCAATAGTAATCATTAGAGGTCGGATTTTTATGATTTTACATATTTGTTTCTAGTCTATGCAGTTAAATGGGAGTGAGAAATCTTTAAGATTCATGAAACACAGAATTCACAAGAAAAAATTTATTTTGCATAAAAAAGCATATTTTAGGGGTTAGAGAATATTTAACACATTAGAGAATATTTGAGAATATTTTTGTAATATCGGCATATAATGAACATATTTGACGTATATCAGCGTATATAATAGTAATCATTTATAATTATCTTTTGGTATTTAAAAAGATTCTACAATTGAAGTATTCAGAGCTTAATTAATTTTAACTATTTACTTTATCTAAAAAAACCAATCATGTTGTTAAAAAGATCTACTCAATTGAACGTATTATATTATTTGATTATAATTGTAAAAATTCATTGTTAATTTCAGGTTGTTACGTCGCTATTTAGGGGTTGAGCCTAAATGCCCGTCGACAGTATTCTAAGGGACCAACGGGGGATAGCTGGCTAGGCTATATCTACCTTAGGTACTGAAGTNAGGCTAGGCTATATCTACCTTAAGTACTGAAGTTTCCTATTTAATTTATATTCCCTTAGAGGAACTATCAAGGGTCGTACTACAATATATATATATATAAATATATGTAGCACTTTAGGTTAACAACGATATAAATAAATATTTATTAAGCAATTTAAATATTAAATGGATAATACAACCTGCTGGACACCTAGAGATGATATAATCCAACAGAGAGCTGACGGCGACACACACACACACTATATACGGGGTCGAAAAATTAAGATAATTATCAGACAAAAGTAGTGATCGCGAAGATGGTAAAATGTCAACTGTCGATAAGGATATCTTATTATGGCACATTAGCCGTGGAATGCAAAAAGTGTTTATATGTGCAGTCCGCCCTCCTGTTAGTATTGTTGTATGTCACTGCGTTAATTATATATATATATCTATTTATATATGTCTATTAAACGGTACAATGATGTTATGGGAGACAGTGATATGAGCACATATAATGTGATTGTATCAAGGTAAAACTAAAAATCATTGTTTTTTTGTGAAATTTTATATATATCATCAAATTTATTCCCACTTGGGGTTCGAACTTCGTATACCAAGCTTGAAAGACACAAGTGAAACCGACTTGGCACCGTACGTCGCATTTGTAGGGTTGATAAAAATGACAATTCAAGTTAATTTAAATTGAAATAAGTATAACAATATATACTATGTCAATTAGGTTTATATAATATTTACGAAAATCAGAGTACTCCCCTTGTAAGGTGTTTTAAAANAGTACTCCCCTTGTAAGGTATTTTAAAATAAAATAAAATACAATATCGAGAGTTTTACCACAAATAGCATATTTTTGAATACGGGTTCCATTTATACCATGAAGACAAACTAAAGTTCTAAATTTTTTTTCCGTAGTAAAGTATGTTACATTAGCTTTAATTTAAGATATATATAAAAATGTCAGTAATTCCGGATCGTTTTCAAAAATAAAGTTGAAAAACTTTAACTTGAGTGAAAAAATTGCTATTTTGAATCTTCCCCCGTGTGCAGATAAATGGCCAGATTTTCTAAAATTGTTTACCAAATAAATTTATTTTTAATAAAGTTATGACACGTTTATGTATTAAATTATTTATATTTTAAAAGGTAATTTTTATATAAAAACTACATTTTTTGTTCAATTCGGCGGGCATTTCCCAAAAGAAGAAAAGGTTTAGTTTTATATAATATTTACGAAAATCAGTGTACTACCACAACACAAAAATAGCATAATAAAGATTAAATAAAAATGTCAATATTTCTGGAACACTTTCAAAACTTAAGTTAAACAATTTTAATTTTTATTCAAAAATTTTTATATTAAATTCCCCCTGTGGTAAAGGGTCAGATTTTCAAAACATTTATATGAAATGAAAGAAAAGTACCCATGGTTTCAAAATAAAAAAAATTATTTTGATTCGTTCATTTTTCTATAGTCTATAGATATTTTTAGAAAAAAAATTAAAAAATGTCAAAATTTACCAATTTTAATAATTGTAATTTTTTGATCGATTTCTCCCCCATTAATGGGGAACGAGGGAATTTTTGAGAATAACATCTTCGACTAGATACGATTTATGATCTTTTCACTTATCGTTGAAAGATATCAGTTCGGTGAGAGCTGAGAAAAGGTAGGCAAACACAAAAAAATGATAATTAAAAATTTAACACATCATGATAAAATTAATATCTCCTCGATTCTTATCGAATCTAAAAAAATAAAGTAAATGATTTATTTCTTTATTTTTAGATAAGCAATTATAGGTAAATATATGTGCGAAAAACATTTGTCGTTTCATAATTTAGTAACCAGAATTAACGTTTGTCATTTTTTTTTTATTATATAGAAAATTTTTATGACTATTTAATGATAAATTAGTAACTATTAAAAAAACCATCTGCAAAATATCAAAGCTTATTTATAAACTTAAATTTCAGTATTTCATGTTGATTGAAACAAACAAAGGAATTTTTATATAGTATTTTGAGTATAATAATGACGATAAAATAATTATATAAATTACTAAGGTTTTATACCTGTCATTTATAAATAAAATGTTTATATTAATAGTAATATTAAATATTAAAACCAAAATTTAATTTATTAAACGCTTTGTTTGCTATTTAAAAAATATATAAAAATGGCCTTTCAACGCTATAAAAAATAGTATTGCTATAACAGTTTTCATTATCAGTTTTATTCAAATACAGCAATAATCAATCCAAAAATGTATTTTTACATTTTCTTTGTTGTTTATCTAGCAAATAATTTTTCAAATGGACTTATTTTTGAGACCAATCCTTTGGATGAGGTAAATAGATAACATTTAATTATTAAGAAAAGTTAATGGTTAAAAGTTTACTAATTAGAAAATTAATTTTTAGGAATATTTAGTTGTTTATTGAGACATATATTATTTTTTATTCTATCTTACTTAGATATATGATTTTCCGAAAAAAAACATATAAACTTGTATTATTTTTTAAATAGCATAAATAAATAAAATAATCTATGTTGAAATCATGTATTATAAATTTTGGACATCTAGAAATTATGAAAATTTTAAAATTGGTTAAAATAAAATATCTGATACTTTGCTTTTATTTAAATTTTTACTTTAAATTATTTTTCTAATCTAATTAATTTATTAAGTCAGTAATACGATACTCAAACATAATTTTGCATGTTTATACATTTGGCAGTAAAATCTTACTTTCTAGTAATTAAAATGTTACATATGAATTCCTTAAAACTAAAATTAACAAAACAATTAACAAAAAGATAATTAATAATGTACTGTTCTGATAATAAAAGTAAAAACGTATATAATTATAACGTCTTGAAATTTATATCGAATAAATAATATTCCTTGATAAAATATAGTGCAAATGCAAAATAGTGTCCTAATAATAATACATATTACACCACATAATCAAGGTTCATAATAAACGTATGAGCAGAAATGAATCACTGCGCTTTAAAAAACCATGCGCGTGGACTAAAAAAAAAAAAGCTCTTAAAATGGTAATAAATGAACGGATTGAATTGGTTTTTTTATCATATCTCAGGAATGTCATTGGGCGGGTCTGATGAAAATTTCAAATCTTAAGTCGTAAAACGATCGCGGGCGAGCGGCAAAAATTTTCCGACCTCTGCCAATAATTTTCCTGGAGTCTGGTGACCGAGTATTTTCGTTGAAAAAATAAATTTTGAAAATCCAAGCACGCTAAGTAATTTTCCCAGAAAAGCGTTTTTTTCTTGTTCGATTATATAATAAGATATTTATTAAATATTTATAACTTTCAAAATAAAAACTGTGAACTACTAGTCAATTTCTTGAATTGATCATTTCTATTTTATAAGCTAGTTAATATTTACGTAAACAAAAATAGTATTTTTTTTTAACTACGGCAGCCATTTAACACATAAAACATAATTCGTCAGGATAACATAAGTGAAATAATACGTACTTCCGTTCGTGAAAAGATAGTCTATAAACACCATAGGCTGATGATCATTCATATCAAGTTTCATATCAGCAAAATATGTACACCAAACTTGTTGTATACTTTTCGCCATCGGAACACGGTATTCGTTTATCACTACCAGTACGTCTTGTAACTGGTCAGCGTCTAAGTCTGTGATAACTTCGTCTGCAGTTACAAGTTCATTATTAACTTCACGCGGACACATTTCTTTGTTTTTAAACAACTCAGTGAAGGTTACGCCACGATAACTGTGTCACCTCTTTTGACAACAAATTGTTCAACACAAGACAAGTTCAACACAGGCACTTGTGTTAGTCCTTGTTCGTCAGTCGAAACTAAACATGGAGGGACCAATTGTTTTGAAGTACGGAGACCTCCTCCTTAATACAGTTCAGTTTTCGGTAAACTTGTACCAACTGATATATGTCCAACATGATTTTTCGGTCATCGGGCACTACATTAACAGGCATTCTTGCTACTACTCCATCAATAGATATATTTGCCTCAAAACGACCTAACGAATGAACTTTACCAAATCCATATCCAACAAATTCATCTGTTACTTGAGCATCGTAGTCAATTAACAGATTATTGACATCATTCAAACGCATACGACACACGCTACTCCCATGTCGACGTATACTTCAACTGTAGTACCGTTTATGACAGCGTCTTTAAAGTACTTAGACTGTGCACCAGCATGTCCAACTTGAAGCACTTGTCTATTATTATATTGCTTTGACATAATCATTTGTAAGGTACTTAGGGTCGTTGCAATTGTACTTGTATTTCTCCTCACACGACAGTCTCATACTCTGTGACCAGAGGATGGACATTTAAAACAAGTTAGAGTTGGTTTTTGGGGACAAATTTTTGAACACTAAATTGCGTAATTATTTTCGGCTCACGATTAGCCCATGTTGAAAATAACTATGTACGCGTATAAGACAATAATAGTCTTTTTATCGACAAAATTATAATTTTCAAACACATGCACATTTTTTTCAAAAAAAATGTACGCTATACCACGCACAATGAAACACTCGCAAAAAAATGTTATAATTTAACGTATACTTAAACACACTCGAACTAACCCTCCACTCGTTATCCACACGTTTATCCCACACCTGTACTGTAATAATACTTTAGAATCTATAAAATACTCCATAATAAAGTACTAAGATGTCAAGGATTAATATATAAAAAAAACCCAGCACAGGGGGGTCGTAGCACAGTGGTGACGTGGCATAGTTTGATCAAGTATAATGATATCTGACAGTGATTAAAATCACTATAAAAAAAAAAACGCTTTGATGCAAGTCTTTACTAATGTTTAATTTTAAAATTAGGTCTTAAAAAAAAAAAAATAATAATAATAATTATAAAATTTTCTGACTGCATATTAATCTTGAAATAACATTGTTCTTTAACAAAATAACATTTTTTAAAAATAATCAGTCCAAATTTTCATTTTTAACCTATTTTTTTGGTTCTTTAAAGTTCATGAAAAATTTTTGATAAAGATTTGTGAAAGTTTATAGTAAAAAAAATTGAAACAAATAACGTTTAGCCTAATTACAAGTTTAAAATTGACATCTAGGCCAGTCAACAAAGGAAAATTTGCGGAAAAAATTCCCAACCAAATTTTGTTTTTTTAAAAGTTGAATTAATATATGTATAATGTCATACTAATAGTCTTCATTGATTGGAATTGAACTTTTTTTTTACAGCCTAGTAAAAGTTAAAAAATATGAGCTTTTTTAATTTTCTCAAAAAATATTTAACTTACAAAAAAAAGTTTCGTACAAAAGTTTTTTAAAAGACAACTATAAACAAAAAAATCATCTTATATTTTTTCATTGAAACAAATATTTTTCGAGTTACATTACATTTAATATGAGTACTAAAATTTATTTTCTATTTTTTTCATTTTATGATTACTTTTTATCATGTTATACTTACATTAGACACAATGTTATAAATGCATATGTGTGTATGTGTGAGTTTATTTAAGAGATCAAGTTCTATTTTCAAAAATTATATGATTTGATTTTAAATAAACAATAATTATTGTATTATAATTTATTCAAATAATTCTTTAGTGATATAAATAAAAATCACTGAAGAAAACTTCAGAATTAAGGTTATTTCTTACTGTATTCAACATTTAATTATGCTACCTTAGAATATTTTCTAGTATAAAAAATATGTTACTCTTTTGATTTTTAACATCTATTCTATTGTTAAATGTGAAGAAATTATTTTTGTTGTTACCACTTAAAGTAGTTACGGTTGAAAAAAACTATCAAAACTGAAATTAATTAAATTCACACGTTTATAACACAGGGTAACTTTGATTTTCAGAGAACATATTATTTTATTTAATATATTATTTTTATATTACATAATATGAAATATTTATATTTAACATTCCTCTTTTTGTATTATTTAATTTACTTAATAATACAAATTTTAATTTTATTTTATTAGGACATAAAAAAAATGTTGCACATAATTGAACATTTTTGTTCCATATTTAAATGTATATTTTTTCGTTGTATTGTCCAAGGAAATAGATACAACATGTCGATTTAAAATTTAAATATGAAGTCTTATTTTGCATTGTTTACGCTTTGAAACTTATAAATATATTTAATCATTATTTATGGATATTAATGCTTATTTTGTTACAAGCAATTCAATTTTATTATAATATTTATATTGTTCATTAAATTCGTTTTAAACTTCTTTTAGACTTACAATACACCCGATGCTAAAGGTCGTGTTTTTTATTTAATTATAGTGTTCATCTAAGGAACAATCACATTTTTTTTTAGGTGGGGTAATTTTAAATTATACGAATGATTGTTTTTTTACTGAAAATACTACTACCAATCAATAATAATAAAATTATTTGAACAAATTAACAATTTAAAAAACTTAAAACCCGCGTTAAAAGACATATGATATTTGTATACTTATTGCTAATATTCTAAAACTTCTTACAGTATTCTCTTTTAAGTTTCTAAACTTTGTCACCTTAAATAAAATAAATAAATTCTAAAGCAAAACCTAATTTTTTTAGAAAATACTTGTGGGAAATTTTTTTTATATTAAATTTTTATAACCAGTTTATAGAAAACTTCGGTATTTTAAATTAAGTTGGATTTTTTAAAAAACCATAAAGGTGCATACTAGGGTGGCCCTCAAAAATCGAATGTCTTTTTTTTTTTTACGCTACCCCTTAATTTTTTTTTAATGGTCAAAAAAATGAGCTGTGCAAAATTTGGGACCGATCCGTTAAGGTTAACCCGTGCCCCCGGGCCTATTAAGTTGAGTCGAAAAGTCAAATTTAATAGAAATAAATGATCTATGTCTCATAACTTTTTTTTCTCTTAACTTAGAATAATAAAAGTAAAACTCACGTAAAGGAAATTTTACAAGAAATTCAAAAATAATAACTTCAATGTTGTTTTCTCAATAAATAGCCCACAAAAACACTACATACAGTAAAAAACATGTAAAAGTCTTAAAATACGTTATAACTGATTTTGTTGATTTTTAATTATTTATTTTCATTTTATTTTTTGGAAAACGCATATTCGTTTAAAAAAAGATTCTAGAAGTTTAATTTTTTATGCCAAGTACGATAATTATATTAGATTTATTATTTTATGGACAGTTAATTAATGATTAATTACAAATTTAACAAAATTGATTGTATTATTACATTTTGTCGTATCAATATATCAATTTTGGTTTACTGAATTACTTTAAGATAGTACCAATTATATTATTATTAAAGATAAGAATATTTGAGTTATTTTCGACAACTGACATAATTTGTGTCGTATAAATGCAGCAGACAATTTGTGAACACGTTAAATATATTTTACCTGTTTATTATTATATATTAAATGATACGTTTTAATCACAAATGTACAATACTTTTAGCATCTTTTAAAGTATTACGAACTAATATTTATCTTATTGGTAATTATTCCCACGAAATAACTGGTAGTAAGTTACCATCAAATTTACAACTATTTAATCTGAACACTGATTTTTTGAAAATTGATCCATCATTTTGGAGTGCGAACAACAGTTACATAAATGTTTTAAATACTATAAGTAAATTACGAGTCATTACAGCCTAGCGTGGCATTAAATTAATCTAAGACTACATTAATATATTAACTACAAATGAAGAACAGAAACAATACGTTTTACAAATAGTAAGTAATTATTTAATTAAACTTCTAGAATCTTTTTTTAAACGAATATGCGTTTGCTAAAAAATAAAATGAAAATAAATAATTAAAAATCAACAAAATCAGTTATAACGTATTTTAAGACTTTTACATGTTTTTTACTGTATGTAGTGTTTTTGTGGGCTATTTATTGAGAAAACAACATTGAAGTTATTATTTTTGAATTTCTTGTAAAATTTCCTTTACTTGAGTTTTACTTTTATTATTCTAAGTTAAGAGAAAAAAAAGTTATGAGACATAGATCAGTTATTTCTATTAAATTTGACTCTTCGACTCAACTTAATAGGCCCGGGGGCACGGGTTAACCTTAACGGATCGGTCCCAAATTTTGCACAGCTCATTTTTTTGACCATTAAAAAAAAATTAAGGGGTAGCGTAAAAAAAAAAAAGACATTCGATTTTTGAGGGCCACCCTAGTGCATACATTTAAGAAACAATGGTAATTTAACAATTTCTTCTAAAACTTGAACACTAACTACAGATTTGCGCCGTAGTTTTTTATAAAAATGATGTTAATCAATGTCAGATATCAACTATACCACTACTTATTGTATTATGCTGATTTTTTATAACTAAATCTGAAGAATTTATGGCCATATTATTATTACTTATAAAATCGTCCAATTCATTTCAGAATAAAGAATTAATTGATTCATCATTGCCTGCTTTGGAGACTTTTTTTAAAAACAATAAAGAAGATAAAAATGGTATGAAATTTGAAGAATTTGCAAAAATAGTGAAAGAATTTGATTGGTTATATGAAATACCTCGTTATTATGTCATGTTCTTATTCTCAAAATATGTTGGAAACTGTAAGTAAAACTTTAATAATAATATTCAAGTTGAGTTTTATTTTCAACAAAAACTATTATAACTTAATTTGTAAAATTAATGTATTTTCCTATTTTTTTGCTGTGTCGTTCAAGGAAATAGATACAACAATATTTTGATTAGACATATAAATATGAGGTTTTATTTCACATTGTTTAAGATTGAAATCTTATAAATACATGTTATCTTTATTTATGTATATTAATGCTTAATTTGTTACAAGCAATATAATTTTATTTTAATAATTATATTTTTCCATTAAATTCGTTCTAAATTTTCGTGATTTGTTTTATTTTTAATACTAGGCTTTACCTAGCTAAGGCACTGTGAACCTCACACGCATTCAGTGCGTAAGCCTCTTAAGTAGGTCACTGATTTAGGTAGGAGTACCCGACTATGCCGGGCACAATAAGTATTTTGCAGGAGAAATATGACATCTGAATGGGAGATTATCATTTCCACCAAAATTGACCGTATCGTTTCCGTCAAACTGATCTTCTACCTGTCTATCTACTAAAAAATTTGAGAACCATTTAGTTTTATCCATGGGTCACCATGAGCCAGTATCGAGTTTAGCGTAGGAGCAGATTAGGTAGCTGCCATACCAAAATGTTTGGTATTTATTGAATGTTACGTTTAGGTCTGTATTTAAGATTTTTGCGTGGGATATTAATATTGATGAGCTAAATAAAGTAATTTTTTGTCCCATCGCTATTAAATGACATTCGCCCACAAGAATGTTTGCGCCCCTTAACCACCCCTAAATACGGTCTCGTCGTTTTAAATAATTACTTATTTTATCTAACAGGTATAACTTTATAAAAAAAATATGAAGTTTTACCAAGGATAAATAAATTATAATAAATATCTGTCTTATGTATGTATAAATATATTTTCATAAATAATAAAAATATAGTTTATAAGAAGATGAAAAGTCATCAAAACATTAAAACAAAATTCAAATATTAATAATATGTTAAAAAAATATCTAATACGTGTAATAATATGATAAAAATAGATCTATGATCTATACATTTTTGATAGTTGTCGAAAACTAATTTCACAAATTCAAATCGGTTAATTTCTTCATTTTAATTAAATTTATCAATTGTCTCTTTTGTTTTTTTGAAACGGAATTCAATTTTATTCCGTACGCTTTTTGAGATTGTATTATCAAAACTATGTATTTTAATGTAATTTAAGCCTAAATATTTTCTATTAAAATTTTTAAAAATATATTAATAGAGGGATGCGCCTTAAAAAATCGTTCATTATAATGAAATATTTATATAAAAAAAATTATACTCATAAAAAAAATTGTGTGGATCCATAAACTTTTCAATAAGTTATAGCATTATAAAGTTAAATATAATATAAATAATAAGATCGAGAATTTTCACACGAAAATAGCAATCAGTAGCCATTTTCGCCGTGAAGACAAGTCCAGAGGTCAAATTTTTTTTTTTTCAAATTAAAGTATATTACATAAGCTTCAATTTAAGTATATAACAGTGTCAGACCTTCCGGAACATTTTCAAAAGTTAAGTTGAAAAAGTTAATTTTTTATGAAAAAGTTGTCATTTTAATTCCCCTCCTGTGGGCAGAAAAAAGGTTAAATTTACAAAAAAAAATATACCAAATAATAGGTAAAGATATCAAGCATCTTTAAAAAAAAAAATTATATTCATATGTTCAATTTTGAAATAGTTATGACAGTTTTTAGTAAAAAAAATTGAAAAAATTTCGAAAATTAGCGATTTTTAAATTTGTAATTTTTTTGGAGGTTTCCCCCATTTACGGGGAACGAGGGAAACTTTTTCAATTTAGAAGGGTAATGTCTTCGACTAGATACGATTTGTGATCTTTTGACGNGGGTAATGTCTTCGACATTGAAAGAAATCGATTCGGTGAGAGCTGAGAAAAAGTTTTTATTCAAGTGAAAAAAAAACACATCATAGTAAAACCAATACCTTCTCAGCTTCGCATCGAAGCTAAAATGTTCGTACTTTATTTTGTTTTTATGGTGAAAACGGACATCAAAGTTAATAAAAAAATAATATTTTAGTAAAAAAATTCTTTTTTATATTTTTAATTTTATAATGCTATAACTTTATGAAAACTGTATGGATCAATACAATTTTTTTATGATAAATACTATTTAGATATCTCTTTCATTTGATATACCTTTTTTAAAATAAAACCATTTCCCTTTAAATATTTATTCATATATTAGCTTCGATGCGAAGCTGAGAAGGTATTAATTTTACTATGATGTGTTTTTTTTTCACTTGAATAAAAACTTTTTCTCAGCTCTCACCGAATCGATTTCTTTCAATGTCGAAGACATTACCCTTAATAATTGAAAATTTTTCCTCGTTCCCCGCAAATGGAGGAAATATCCAAAAAAATAACAAATTTAAAAATCGGTAAATTTTATCATTTTTCTCACTTTTTTTTCTTAAAACTTCCTTAACTTTTTTAAAAATCAACATAATTTTTTTTTTACTGAAACCTTAGGTAATTTTTTTTGAAAATCTAACACTTATTCTGCTCACAAGGAGGATTTAAAATAGCAACTTATTTACAAAAACTAACTTTTTCAACTTAATTTTTGAAAATTTTCCAGAAATACTGCGTCTTTTAAACATATATCAAATTAAAGCTTATGTCATATACTATAAAATTAAAAAAAAAAATTTATCCCGACAATCTATCTTCTATGCGCAAATAGCTACCGTATTCAAAAATATGCTATTTTTCTATTAAAATTTTAATAAAAGAGCAACTAATATTTTGTTTTGAATCATAATAACAATTAAGTTGAGGAATAAATAATTAATAATTCTATTTCAACACAAATATTTAAATAAATAAATAAATTTAAGTTGTGATATATATTAATATTCGTAGAATTTTGAAATTATGTGATATATTTACTTCAAACAGTACTAATACTATTTATATAATTAAAGTATTAGGAAGTATTATTTAATTTTCAAATAATATAAAAAACTAAATCATATATAAATTATTATTTGAAATATTATAATAAATTAATTAAATTAAGTGTCAATAAAAATTTCAGTCAATTATAATTATGAATGTAATTATTATTAGTCATAACATTTTACATTTAAATAAAAATGAATTATTAACACTTAAATTTTATTTCATTAAGTAAAAGAATTAATGAATTTCGAACAATTTAAGAAAATAGCGACGTTTTGTATCTGTATTTATGAAATAAGAATTGAAAATACTTTTAAATATTATTCGAACGAAACAGATAAGATGACTTTAGTGGGTTTAACCGAAGCTCTTGATTGTTTAAAGTACGAACACCCTGAAGGATTTCTTATTAAATGTATGAATTATTTTGAAGGTGAAGGCGCACAATTTATCAGTATGAAAGGTAAAATTACGTATAATATGTAGAATTTTACTACTTATGAAAGGCCAATGTATTATCTTTCAAAATTTTTTTTTTAACTGCAAGATCGATAGTTAATCCGTTACCAAGAAGGTGAATGGCATCTCCATTTACTGAATTTATTTATAACAAACCAAATGGAAACCATGTGCCATCAAGCATCATGAAATTTCACTTTTTTATTTGATCTTATTACTTCTTAATTCCATCTGATATTCATGATACATTTGTAAGATAATTTTTGATTCGTTACCCAATTTATTTCTTCAAGAGCTGAATATAATTGGTAGTAAACGTTTTTCTTTTTAAATTCATTTTAACAAATATTATTACTCAAATATAACAGCAATAAATAAACATTATTTTTGAACCTTACCCTTTTTTCTCCAGTTAATTATAATAATATATGTTCATCGTAAATTTTTATTTGTCATTTTTGTAAAATATTATATGTTTTTCTTGGATTTTTATACATATGCAATTACGATAGCAAATAGAATAATACTATTATAATAACAAATTTTCGCACCAAAAACTCTTTTTGACAGCATCTAAATTTGATAATCGTTATAACTTAAAATGACTGTCGAAAATATTCTAGCTGATATAAAGTTATTTTATTAATTTTTAAGTAGAATTTTTCTATGCATTAAATAAAAAACTGAAATCTATTTATTTTTAATGATATTTTTTTAAAATTTTTTTTTAGCATTCAGACATATATTCGGGTTTACATTTCAGAAAAAGGTCAAGGCCTTACAAGAAAATAAAAAAAATTAAGTATTATTTATTTATTGTTATGATTTATTTATTATCTGTATACATTGAATTATATAAATCACTGTTAAAACTGTATTGATAATAAATTGAATTAGTTTGCGAGATATTAGGAGGTTTTATTATTGTACAATTGTTACTCCGAAAGGAGCCAAGAAAGGTATTCCTTTTATCATAAAAATTATATATAATTGCTTAAAGTAATAAAAATAAATAAAGAATCATCATTATAATAATTTATTAAGTGTTGTGACAATTTTCAAGGGCTGCGAACCATTTCGAGATGAATGATTGTAATTGAATGTAATTAAATAAACTTCTCTACATGTTCGTACTACTGCTTTAATTGAACAACTTTTGAATAATTATGTTATTTTTAATAAAGAGACAATACATTACCATATAAAACTTTTAACTTTTATTATTCAAAGTTGACGCGACTTATGTCACAATAATGTAGTCGACACTAGTTTTGAGGGTAGAGACCCGTGGGCCGTTTATTAATGAGCAACAACAGGTTAATTTTAAAAAAGACAAACAAACCTAAAAGACGAACACAGTAATAATAATCTTCGCTTAATATCACTTTCGCTGGCGTCGACAACTCAATGTCCGGCAAGATCCTCGGCATCAAAAAGTTAGCAGCGTTGGTGGTGTTGGTGCGCGGGTGCGGATCGGTCGTTGTCGCTTTCATAACGGAAGGAAGACTCACTTATCATTTGCGGCGAGTCGTCGTCGGCCTTACGGCACTTGCTGGACTTTGCACCGTGGCGTATGGCACCCAAGTTAAATTCTTATAAATTTGCAGACTATTTACTAAAATGTTTTTTATTAGTTGCAATGGAAAGGTTTTTGTTAGGTTAAATACCTTTAAAGATAACCCTAAATTTAATTCTAAACTTGCAATAAAAATATTTATTCTACAATGTAAGATTTGACACAATCCCATGTTGCTACATGGTAGACGGAGCTCCACGACCCGCGTCACTTTCATCGGCAGTCGCCATACTATGTGTATGTGGTAGTTTGACTATCACCGTGTGCATACTGTCACAACTCAAAACATATTAAAATAAAAAAAAAATAGTACAGTAAGATCACGGCACAGTGATGACGTGGTATAGTTGGGTCAAGTATAATAATAACTGACAAGAATTAAACTCACTATAATAAAAAACCCAGCACAGGGGTTCGCGGCACAGTATTTACGTGGCATAGATGGATCAAGTATAATGATATCTGACAGTGATAAAAATCACTATGAAAAAAAAAACGCTTCGATGCAAATCTTTAGATGTGTTTAATTTTAAAAAATTGGTGTATTATTCCAAAAGCTACATGATATGCTAGTCCCTTATTAATATCTTGAATAAGATAAAATATGTCGAATAAAAAAGGGATTATTAAAAAATATTATTTCTCATAAAAAAATTGTGTGGATCCATAAACTTTTCAATAAGTTATAGCATTATAAAGTTAAATATAAATAATAAAATCGAGAATTTTCACACGAAAATAGCATTTAGTAGCCATTTTCGCCGTGAAAACAAGTCCAGAGGTAAAATTTTTTTTTTTCAAATTAAAGTATATTACATAAGCTTCAATTTAAAATATATATAGTGTCAGACCTTCCGGAACATTTTCAAAAGTTAAGTTGAAAAAATTAATTTTTTGTAAAAAAGTTGTCATTTTAAATCCCCCCTGTGGGCAGGTAAAAAGTCAGATTTATAAAAAAAATATAACAAATGATAGATAATGACATTATGCATCTATAAAAAAAAGAATTATATTGATATGATTATTTTTAAAAAAGTTACGGCAGCTTTTAGTAAAAAAAATAAAGTCCGAAATTTTTTTTTTCTTAATAAATTACATTACATTAGCTTTAATTTAAGATATATATAAAAGTGTCAGAACTTCCGGAACATTTTCAAAAGTTAATTTTTTGTGAAAAAGTTGTCATGTTCCCCCCTGTGGGTATATAAAGGTCAAATTTACATAAAAAATATACCAAATGAAAGGCTAAGACATCATGCATCTATACAAAAAAAATTTACTTATCCATACATTTTCCAAAAAGTTATAGCATTATTAAGTGAAAAATATAAACACAATATAAACTATCACCGTGTGCATTCTGTCACAACTCAAAACATATTAAAATAAAAAAAAACACTAGCACAGTATGGTCGCGGCACAGTGGTGACATGGCATATACAAATCTATAGATAGTGTTTACTTTAAAAAAATTGGTGGATTATTCTAAAAGCTTCATGATCTCCTATTTCCTTATTCATATCTTGAATACATGTTTTATGATTTATAAGTGCAATATATAAACGTTTTATTTAAAGAAGAAGCATGTCAAATAAAAGAAGTATGTAAATAGAATTTTTCATATAAAAATTGTATTGATCCAAACATTTTTCAAAAAGTTATGGCATTATAAAGTTAATAATGTAAAATATAAAATCGAGAATTTTCACACAAAAATAGCATTCGATAGCCATTTTCAACGTGAAGACAAAATAAAGCCCAGAATTGTTTTTTCCATGATAAAGTATATTATATAAGCTTTAATTTAAGATATATATAAAAGTGTCATTCTTTTCGGAACATTTTCAAAGTCAAGTTGAAAAAAATTGTCATTTTAAATCCCCCCTTGTGGGCAGGTAAAGGGTCAAATATAAAAAAAAAATGTACCAAATGAAAGGTAATGATATCATGCATCTATATAAAAAGAAATTATATTGATATGTTCATTTTTAAAAAAGTTTTGGTATTTTTAAGTAAAAAAAATTGAAAAAAAAAAATTTCGAAAATTAGCGATCTTTAAATTTGTAATTTTTTTGGAGGTTTCCCCTATTTACGGGGAACGAGGGAATTTTTTTCAATTTTTGAGGATAATTTCTTTGATTAAATCAGATTTGTGATCTTTTAACATATTGTTGAAAGAAATCCGTTCGGTGAGAGCTGAGAAAAAGTGGTAACAGACACAAAAAAAAAGAAAAAAAAACACATCTTAGTAAAACCAATACCTTCTCAGCTTCGCATCGAAGCTAAAAGGAGTGAGTATTGGATAAAAGTGAGTGTTACATTAATTCGGGATGTGATTCGAGGGTCATAAAATAATATAAATATATTTATAGATTATTAATCTTACCTGATAATTTTTCATGGTTCTTAAGTGATAGTATTAATTTATGATTAATAAATTGTAAGGTTTCAGCCAAACCAAAGGGCCTACTAATTACCCACTGCCCAGGGGGAACACTGGGCAGTGACCTAGAAGCCGCGCCAAGCAAGATAGTCCTTGTTGACGGAGCTACTAGGTTTTGATTAAAAAAAACAAATATTAATAAAAAGAGGAAGGCCATGTATAATATAATATTTTACTTTTTAATTATTGACAATTCAAATGTATAATATATATTTAATTTATTAAATATATATAGTCATGAGGAAAGACAAAAAAAGAAGAAAAAGAGGTGCTATATATATATATATCATGAATAAGGGGTTTGAAAAGGGGGGTTTCATGTTATACTTGATGTTGTTGTTGATTTTGAAGAGTGCCGGCCCACCACCGGCCACAGTTCGCGCCTTATACCATCGTGGACATCTCTACGTTTTATTTTATACAAAAAAAAACGGAGGACAAAAAAAACTGAACAGCCTGGTTGACACAAGTTGACGGCAGATCGACGCGACGTTTTATTTTTATAAAAAAAACGGAGGACAAAAAAAATAAATGTAACAAAAACGTGGTTTTCACAAAAAGAAAACAGACAACTTGTCGCCTCGGTATCTTGGTTGAGAAAAAAAATCTGTTGTCGCGGCATCTGGATAGTGGCCGGTGATCATGATGTCGCCGGTTGGTGGGGGTGCCAACTTTGAACTGGTTTATAGGGAAAATACAAGAGTGTAGGGATGCACTGTGCGCGGTCAACTGTCACAACAAACCGGGTAGTGACCATTGGATCGGTTGACTGTATACAGAGTGATTTTTTTATCATAACCCACTCAATTACTTGCAAAATAATAATAGTTTAAACATTTTTTTTTTCATTATATTTAGTTACACATTATTCTTGAATTTTTAACTATGTAATACTTTTTAAGTTCATCCCTTATGCCTTGGAAGGGAGTCAACTTTGTTTTTTTAAATGGTAACACATATTTTTAATTTAATAAAATGTTTGAGTTTTTAATTCAAAAGTAAATGGCATTTGAATTTTAATATAACTTTATTAGCTTATTAGATATTGACACGGACCGCGTCGTTCTCTATACACGGAGCCCCGCGACCCGTGACACCTGTATCAGCCACCGCCCAACTACATGCATATGGTAGTTTGACTGACTAACACCGCGTGCGATACGCCACGGTACAAAGTCCAGCAAGTGCCGCACGTCCATCTACGACCCGCCGCAAATATACGTTAAGTCATCTCCGTGACACCGCTTTGATCGCATCGTCAACATTACGGCACCGGGTACGATATATATATTGTTTTTTTTTGGATACATACATAAGTACGTCAACCGTCTACTTGCTTACTGTGTTTATTTGTTTTACTTTTTTTTTGAACATAAAGTTCTGTTCAGCGACAAATAAAACATTAGATTATTCTGAACCAAAAATAACGTGTTGTGTTTTTTTTTGTTATTTTTCTAATATTACAACACCCCACGAGTGCGGCAGGATACAAACCGCATCAATATAAACATTTAAAGTTTCAAAATTTTGAGTTAATATATATGTACAATACACATGGGATTGTAAATACAGGTAGCTAATTGGATTTTTATGACATTGCTGTCACAGTCACCGATTTTATATGATCAATGAAGACTATCAATATTCGTCTCAGTCACGGATTGTTTATTATCAATTATGATTATCAATAGATATACTTTCTGTATTGTCAGTTGGTGTATTTATAAACTCATAACAATATTTCTTACTATAATTGATAATAACAATGGTGTGTACCTGCTAATATCGATGTTATAAAAAACAAATTAGCTACCTATATTTGTAATCCCTTGTGTATTATACCTGTATATTAATTCAAAAATTTGAAACTTTAAATGATTATATCTA